TTTGTGTACTTAAAAAGTTGAATTTGTTACGTAAATTAGTTGTTGGACTATGAACATTAGGATCAAAGTCAAAATTTGTCCGCCTTCAATTTGGGACACTGGTAACATCATTATCATTAGAAAAAATTGTATATAGCTCAAGGGGCCCTCTTAATGAATATTATATGTGGCAATCGAGCATCATGTCCACATCACCATCGTCCTTAATGTTATATATTGAGTAGATTAATGGTTCCAATGATATCGGTAGTCGATACTTCAACGGTTCAAGTTTTTTCCCGCAACCATGTGGAACATTTTTCTTGAATTCTTTCATCACCTTCTTATACGTTTATTTCCTCGACAACGTTATCAAAATAGTATGTGCATAATGAAAGAGATGTCGAGAGATGCATCATTTTGCCATCATAGTATTCCAAAGCAATAATACTTCCTCTCCTCGACATGTTTTGAAAATATCTACGATCATGCAAAGAGAATAATAAACATGAATGAAATTGTAATGAATTTAAACTATGCAATAATCAAGAAGCGTCAAATAAACTTATGATTAAAACAATCGTTGATCACTTCCCTTGTCATTGCCTTCAATTCACTTCGGTATGCTTTGTTTGTCTTCATTTTCTTGAAATAAGGGTTCGAATGGAAGTCGTGTTTTTTCAATAAAAGAGATTTTGATGTGATATGGAAGGGACATGGACCTGCAAAGATTCTTGACGCAATGTGGAAAATAACTCGTATTTTACAGAACGTGAGTTTTATATAGATTCTTGGAGTGGCAGCAACTGCTTTGATATGGTAATTTGACGTGAAATAATAGGGACCTCATGCTATGCAAGACGCGAGTTCACTGTCATGTCACATCAAGATGAATATGCACGACTTGAGGTTCTTGTCTATTTAAATTCCTTTTGCTCCACCAAACCTAATCATCTCTGAAACCTTCTTCTTCTTTCATGAATGATTTATCCCTTCTCGGAAAACTTCTAGTTTATAAAAGGCATTCTCTTTTGCTGGCATCATTTTCTTCTCTATATTGGGATAGGCACATCATAAGTGCCTCAATGCCTCGAACAGTATCGATATTATTCTTCGTGGTCAAGAAGAACCTATAAGACACAAGACACATGCACTCTTTTGGTGGTATCTTCTTCTCTTTGGCTTATTGAAAATCTTGCATCTTTGAGAAATGAATCCTCTTTTGTGGCCTATAAATTTTCGCTTGGGATTCTCAAAAAACTTATCGTTCCATCAATTAGGGTCAAACGAATACCCTTTGAGAAATTCTATCTACTAAGCTTTTCCTTTTCATTTTTTATTAACGATACCAAGAACACAAGTCTAAGACGAAGTTTTCCTTTGGATTTGTGTGGCGTGTTTGTATCTGCTGAGTTTTTTCCTTTGCATTTTGTACCGACGATACCAAAAAACATAAGTCTAAGACGAAGTTTTTCTTTGGGTTTCTTTGGCATGTTGGTATTCGTTTATTATAAAAGGCATCTTCTTCCGATGGCAACATCTACTTCTCCTGTGCTAAGATATGCACCACATCTATAGCTTCAGATAATTTTTGGAGCTATTTACACCACTACAAGTTATTTACAAAATATGTTTGTTGGTTTTTAATTTCTTTTCGTTTGGAACCATTTATCGTATGTGCTGATATCAGTTTCAATTAAAAGATAAGTTCCAATACTATGCCTCTAAGCTCAAAACTTAAACAAATTTTTCGATTAACTTCCTGGAAATACTCCATGAACATGCCTATCAAGCTATTTTAGCTTGTTCTTCATGCATAAACAAAGCTTTGGAACCATTTTGAACGTGATTTTTACCACGCTTATAATGTCTTGTATGTGCCGATATTAGATTCAACCAAAACATAAGTTCAAATACTACGTCACTAATCTTATAAATTACGAATATTTTCCAATTTACAACCTGAGAAAACGTCACAAACATGTATTAACCTAAATAATTATGGACTGGAAACACTAGGACCTCTCGTTTTGCAATCTGTGAGGACCTTTCTAACACGTTGAATTTTATTTGAATCAAAAGTTGCGATTTTTCAACGTACCTCGCGTCCAATTTCAACATACCTTACCTTTCCAAAACTAATCGAAAACTGCAATTGTGATAACAATTATCCGCGTAATTCAATCGACCAAGTTGGAACAACCCATGTTATGATTCTTGTTTTTGGAACCATGAAGCAACTTTGTTTTGTAACATGTTACACTAGAATGAATTTTAATAAGTTTTGTCTATTTATTACAATTGATTTTTTTGTTATTTTATTATATACTATACAATAAAAATACAATAATTAATTTAAATCCATAAAAAATTATTTTTTATTATTACACACCGAACCTTGTGTTACGCAAACCGCGAGGTTTGTTCAGAAGACACAATACTTCAAATTCTCGGGGACGTTTCAATATCTCGAGCAACTCACATGTTGTAAAATGCGAGGTCATTTATTGAAATATTAAATTATATTCTCTGAAAAATGTTTCCACGTTGGAGGAGAATCGCACTCTATACAACGCGATGCCTTTACAATTGTTTTGTAGGACGCAAGGTAATCCTATGTGCACAGTTTAGAAGTATTTTTCCGATTAATCATGTTTGAGCATTATTTCAATAAATGGTTTTTTAGGATTTTTATACTACTAACGCCCAAAAATTATCTAGACAATTTTAGATTTGAGCTTTTTTTTTTAATAAGAATATTTTAGGATTTAAAGTTGTTTTGTATTCGAACCTTTTTGGATTTAGATTATTATGGGCTCAAATGACACGAACAAGTTTCAATACTCGGGCTTGTTTTGCCAGTTCACATGTTACATAATAACCAACCATACAAGGCATTAATGATAAATAACTCAATCTTTACTTATTTCATTCAACATTATTTGCTTTCACGTAATGATAAAATTAACCCTCAATAATTTTTTTGATATTTTAAGTTTTAATCTAAATTTTTTAATTTTGATAAAATAATCTTTATTAGATGAAATAGTTAGTCAAAAATAATTAGTTGACTAACTGTAAACATATGTCGTTAATATTTTATTGATGTAACATCTATCATACTACTAAAGTGATGAAGTGACATTATATCACTTAAAATAGTTAGTCAAAAATAATTAGTTGACTAACTGTAAACATATGTCATTAATAATTTATAGACGTAATTAGGGATGGCAAAAAAATCCAAACCCGATAGAGAAAACCGAAAACCGAATTAAACAGGGACGGAAAAAAACCATTTATGTTAAACGAAGACGGGGACGGATTTAGTAATCCCCGCTCCGATTACCCGATTACCCCGCCCGATAAATATTACAAATAATTATTTTATATATATATATATATATAAATATTATATATATATTTTTAATTTAAATATATATACCCGGCCCGATACCCGTTTAAATAACCGTTTATGCTAAACAGGGATACTCGTTTCCCCGCGGTTTTCTCCGATTACCCGATGAGGATCCCCGTTTAAATCCTCATGATTTTTTAAGCAGGAACAAGTACGGATTTTTTAAACGGGGACGGGAGACCAATACATGACCCGAACCCGGCCCGTTACCATCCCTAGACGTAACATGTATCATACTACTAAAGTGATTAAGTGATATATCATATCACTCAAAATAATGACATAACATGTATCTTAGAATGATAACTTAACATGTCACATCATTTAAAGTAATGATATGAATTGAATTACATCACCAATTAAATATGTATAAAAATATTGTATCAATAACGTGTTAATTATTGGTTAATTAATATTTTTCATCCAATAAAAGTTATTTGAATAAAAATTGAAACAATAAAAACTAAATGATCCCAACAAAAATTAAAATAATTATTTAAATAAACGTTAAGAACTAATTTTACCATCATATCATTTTCTTTTGTCAATAAGATCGGCAAATATTCAATAAACAATAAATGCACTATAGTAAGTATTTTATAAACCTATTTGCTTCTGATAAGTGTTAATATTTGGATCCAGAGTTCTGCATTTGTAAGAGAATGCATACATTATAGGTTTACCATAGAAATTTATATACCAAATCCAAAGAGAATTTGGGAGAAAAACTGAAAGAACAAAGTAGATGATACGAATCTACGAGTCACGACAATGTCAGGGATGAATGTAAAATTTTAGGGAGGATGGATTTATAAAATTTTAAAAACATACTTATAAAAATTTAGGGAGGCGAAAATATACTTTCAATTAAAAAATATCTAAAATATATAGAAATTTGAAAATTTAAGGGGTAGACTGTCCCTCGGTCATCCCTGAGCACTGTCATAGTTGGAAGCTATGCAAAGCAAGAACACACAAAACAACGGCGCATGGATAGCAACAACCACAAACAGTCACTAAATAGGAAACATAATACTATACATACTGAAGCACAACACACTGAGTAATCCGCAGGTTCTATTCGAACGAAATACAGTTTCGACAATGGTTCTGTACTGAAATAAAATGCTAAAATTTGTGCTACTTAAAGACCATTACCATTATGTTCTTTATGCCGTGTTACTCCAACTTGTCATTTTTCTTAAAGTATTCCTGTATGACACCTATGTTAGACACACTTTGGAACATGGATATGAGAATATAATCCTCCAATGATCCTTCAAATACATGGAAGGAAAAAGTTTAACATACCCATGTCAACATATGCATATAAGTGATACTCACACCCCAGTGCAAGTAACATAAGATACAACTGCAGTGAAATAGAATGATGCACGTCTAGTGGTACCTAGGCAAAGCAGGCTTTAGTAACATAAATCTCAATGGGTCAACATTTATATGGTCTGTGCACTAACAAATCATATAAATGCCAAGTTTCGGGCATGTAACATCTGAGACACAAGTTGGATTCTAGAAGTACAGACGATGTTTAAAGCAGACACTAGATTTTGAATCATAGCAGCTGGTAACAAATACTCGCACATGCAGAAGGAAATGGAAACATCATAATTTAAACTTCAAATACAGAAACAATGAAATATCTACATGGGAGTTAAAAGTCACTTACCTGCTTCACAGAAATACGACAAACAGATATCAAAAAGGTTAGCATTATAAGAAGCTGCTGAAATTAGATAAGGGCACAAAAAATGAAAGATAAGACAGATTGATATGTAACGTATAAATAAAATATCACAAGAAATTAGGATCCCCTGTTTCGTTTAGCTCTTCTGGAATTTTTCCACATACGCCTGCAGCAGAATGAAGAAATTGTAGGGCAGTAAGTAAAATATGCATAAAATGGAATAGGCTATGCCTAGAAATAATTAAATTATCCGAAGGGATTGTCTTTCAACTTCAACAATGGAGCATGTTATTGACTGAAAACATACAAATGATGGAGCAAACCAAGGCCAGAAAAGCATGCTGTGCGGAAATGGAAAAGACAACAAATGAAAAGTCAAAAAGTCTGTTATTTTTCTCACCTGTACAAGTTTGCTAAGCTTTGGTTTCGAGAATGACAGATATTGATCAATTTTTTCAGGTGTTTGAGGAATATTTGTCCCTTGCATTGTAGCAATCACTTTGTCAACAACTTTCTTTACAATGCTTTTATAAGCCTCTTTGCCAATTTGACCTTCCTTCCAAGCCGGTTTTAGGAGATCCTTGACAAACTCGACAAGTGCAAATTTAAATGCACGAAGCCCTTTACCATCCTTTCTCTTCTTTCCCTCCTCGGTCCTATCATCTGCCTCCATGTTCTCCGACAAACCATTCGTGTTCTCTGCTTCAGCTTTCTTGATTTTCAGAACTCCATTTTCCTTTGTCGCCTCCTGACTAACAGGATGTACTGGAAATCCGAAAGGCTTAGTGTTTGTATCCTGCTTCTTAGCAGGATCAATGCTATCATCTCTGGGGTCATATTGATTCTGGAATGAAATTTCTTGATCTGGCTGTACAGTTGGCATGGAATCTGGCTCAGCAGGTCCTCCAGAGTGTGCAAAAGACGTCACCTGCATTCCATCATGGACATTAACAGCAACATGAAGTAATGGAAGTAGTTGCACCTAGGGGTGTAAACGAGCCGAGTCGAACTCGAGTATTGCTGAACTCGACTCGATTCGAAAATTCTGAAATGGAACTCGACTCAACTCGAAAACTCGCGAGCTTAAAATTTTCAAATTCGACTCGAACTCGAAATCCTAAACTGAAACTCGTAAACAGCTCGAAAAAGCTTGAAATGAAAAAAAAATCTTAAACTTAACTCGATTGAAGCCTCAAACTCGAACTTTAAATACATAAAAATCTTACTGTATTTTTTTAAAAAAAATCAATACATAAATATTAATATTATTAATAATTTATTTTTAAAAAAAAGATAATCTTAATATATTATATTTTCGAATTGCTCACGAGCTTTTCGAGTCGAATATCAAGTAGCTTGTTTCGGCACGTTAAGAACTCGAGTTGAGTCCATTCGATCCGAGTATTTATCGAGGCTTGATCGAGTCAATCTCAAGTAACTCGCAATCTGTCTCATCTCATTTACAGCCCTAGTTGCACCTTTCCAAATGACTAAGCTAAAGAGGCAAAAAGATTAGTATGTTGGGTGCTCTGTTCATTGCTTACCATGTTCGAAGTTGGCAGAGATCCATAATTACCATGTAATATACTTTTATCCCCAATAATCAGTTTGGTGCTTGGTTTCTCCTCTTGAAACAGCACACTATTTTGTGGAACTTCCGTATTTACTTCATTAGAAGGGATTGACAGTTCACTTTGTCCAATTGCATTTAAGTTTGAATGAGGTAAAGAACGCCCAGGATCATCAAAATTTTGTGTTGGAAGGATGTTGGTAGAAAATTTTGGACCAATGTGTGAAACACAATAATTTCTACTAATGGCATTGGCGTCGCATGGGAATGCCGCGGGAGTGCTACCCATTGTCAAGTGGTCCACTTGATAGTTAAATTTCCCTGTTGGCATTCGCTGAGAAGCAGCAAGCTCATCACATGCTTGACCTGAGGCCATTTCAGTTATATTCTTTTCGTGAGCCGGTAAAGATGTCCCCACAGGAGTGATCTCTGAACTATGAGACTTTTCCTTATTAACAGAAGAGTGGATTCGGTAATTCCACTGGGGAGACATTTCCATATCATCATTTGAATCCTCAACACCATTTGGTTTGGAGGCACCCACTTTTTCATTTATGTCATCGTTCAACTTTGTAGCCCCTAGGTAGGCACCTGTATCACTCCATTTAGGACCAGTCCAGGGTTTCTTGGCATCATTTAGCACATCAGCATCACTCCCCTTTGAAGCATTCCAAGATCTCTCCGCATTGAAAGAAGCATCAACATCAGTAGGTTTTGCACCATCCTGTAGCTTATCCAGACCATGATGAGAAAATCTACAATAGTTTCCATTACGACAATTTCCAGCAGCAAAGTATTTGCAAGGTATGTCACTGCTTTTTCGAGCTTCATGCTCAACACCTCGCTCTGGAGTTATAACTCTGTTCCTCTTGTTGTTTTCCCTTTCTTTATTTATCTCATTTATTGATCCTCTGCTGTAACCATCTGAAACACCATCATGAGTAAATCTACATGATGCACCTCTGCGACAGTTACCTTCCAGATAATCAGTACAGCAATCAGTAGATCTTCCACTCTTAATAAAGTAATCTTTATCATCAGTGCGAGTAATATATTTTGAAACACCAGCCCTCTTTTGCCTATCATCGCAGCCATCCTCATGACTTTGACTATCCTGGTGAAGAAAGTGACACTGACTGCCTCTCCTGCATCTCCCACCCATAAAATCTCTACACATTTGAGTTGACACCCCAGATCTGTATCTGATTCTCTCATGGATTCCCGATTGTCGCCTAATGCCAGGAGCCGGACTTCTGCTCCTACTTCTACTACGACTTCTACTCCTGCTTCTGTTGGTAAAACTAAGATTAGGATGGATTAAAAATCAGAAGTACGCAACAGGAAAACAGGAGATATAGAAGACAGAAACAATAATACCACTTATCCAGACAAATAAGCATAAACCAAAATACCACTTAAGAGAGACCAAAAGCATTATGTTCAACAAATAAGGTTAGATGCAACCTCGGTGACTACAAGATTTTAAATAAACTAACAGGAAAATAAACAGCAAAAATGGGGGGAAATGTTGATATATTTAGCAAATTAGCATAGAGAAAATTTTTAACACAAATGGAAAGACAAAAAAAGCAGCATGTGATTCTCAATTTTGTAGCAACACAGAAGCACTAGTAACAATATATTGGGCGTGGATGGTATCAGTTATATAGATGCTATAGTAACAACCAGGAAACTGTTAAAAAGAATATGTTAACAATGAAGGATACAAGAGTGACAATCAAACCTTTGAGACCTGCTCCAATCACCCTTAGGAGAATTGTGGTAATTTTGTTTCCTTCGCTCATCAAGAGTAGGTGACTTTTTCTTGATGTACGTGTCATCCCCATATGACAGGGTTGCAGTTTTCCAATTTTTGGCATAATCACTATTGATGTTATCATTGTCTAGGCTACCTCTGCATCCATGTAAATATTCCCTTAAAGGCGATCCATGCTTAGATTTCATGACAGACCACTTATTGCCATTCCTACGAACCTCTGGAGAGAAAGATCCATGTTCTGATTCTCTTTCATGAGAAGACACACTTGCTTTCACAGACCAGGCACTGTCTTGTACATTTTCAAGAGAATATTGGTGTTCATCTTTTAAATCCCACTTAGAACCACATTTTCTGCTTTTGCTCATTTTAGCAAGCACGCACCCTTATCAATGCAGTAGTCTGGAAGTATGGAATTAAGACATTAACGAACTGGAACCCTCTTTGATTTATTTCAGGATCTAATTCACATACCAGTCAATGTAATCCCCAATCTGCTTGCAATTTAATTTCCTTTGGCAAAAAAAAATTTGATTCCATTAAACAGATGTAAATCTTTCAAATAGAAAATTGTGATCAAGAACAACATGAAGGCATGAAATATATCTCACAGAAAAAAGTCAATATGCAAACATATATAATTGCACGCACTGGTGTAGAGCAATAATGTAATTTGAAATTGGATTATGTTTTATTTTGCCGTTTGGTTTCTAATAATTAACTTTGCAAAAGGAAGCAGCCATCCAAGGATAGAATTAGAGAACCCTAATTTTGATATTGTAGGCAATGACATAAGAAAGCTGATCACCATTTCTCTTCTCATATTTCTACTTCAATATTCCCTGGGTTTTTAGCAACTGGTACAGTTTTTCCAAAGCTCTCCATCTATGATTATCAACAGTCCACCTATTACTCTCAAATACTAACTTATGTGACTTAATATTATGTCCATGGATTGTTTCATGAGCATAATGTATTCTATCTCTATCTCGAAATGTCCAACCAACTATTTCCATACCCACAATCAACAACAATTGAAACAAAATTTCCATCATCTCCAATTGCATTTTTTTCCTAATTGCTATAGGAGACATCATAGTTTAAAACAGCTATTTCCAAATAGCAAGAATTGTCAAATGTCATCGAAGTACATCAGCAATGAACTCAATGTATGAGAATAGGAGTTGGGTAGAGACGTACAGTCATAAGACACATTTCCCTCTCAATGAGAAAATACAAGTTTAAACCTTGGAGACATTGTTGGGAGGGGCAGCCACGAACCCCAGACAAAGATCATAAAATGGACATGGATGGTACCATAACAAAACGTATGAGAATATCAACCATTAAAGAAGCAAAACTGAAACTAAACAGGAAGTAAACACATTACAAAATAATTCACACTTCTAAAAGGGATATACCAAGTTCTACAGAATCTGACGTTTTCAAGAAAATAACTGCTAAAACTTCATCAAGATCTACAAGAATTGGAAATGGATATCAACTTGACACTTGAGGAAACTGCAATAAATTTCAAATTTATCACAATCAACATGAAAAGAGGAACATGGACAGAAACATGAAGGACTTGTATCAAATTCCGTCTTGCTAGGACTTAATATCAATGTGTAACCTCGGAAGGTAGAGCTGAAATCCGCATGTATAGTTGATTGAAGCATTCTCGACTAAAGGAACCGGATTGCAACAACATCTATATATGATGAAGTTCTAAACAAATTACATTAAAAGTATGATGATCACTTGAAATAGATAAGAAAAGGGGTGGTTAATTTTGGACAAGGGTAACATTTGGTAGGATGAACAGGAACGAAGTTCAGCTCCGAATTCAAACTAAAAATAATTCCTAACAGAATTTATGTACATCAGAAGTAAAGTCAATATACAAAGCAGCTAAACCAAAACAAAGAACAAAAAAAAGCACTACAAAGGAAAAAGGACTAGCAAATTAGGCTGACAGCAAAACTTACCCAAAAGCAACACAAAAAACTAGATTGAGAAGTAAATCAGAACTGAGGGATGAAACCAGCAGTGAACAAAGAAAACCCATCAGAACTGAGGGATGAAAGAACAAAGAAAACCTCAAATACCCATAAAGGAACGAAGAGCAAAGGAGCGAATTCAGATCAGAAAAGCCGGATTGGGAATAAAAAATCAAAAGAAAATTGAATAAAGGTGAAGAAATGACGACCCTTTTTTCTTATTTCTTATTTGTAATCAAACAATAGATTTAAGAAACAAAAATGGAGCGAACAGAGCGACATTGGCAATGCAAATAGACAGGCCCCGATCGTACCTATTAGGAAAAACAAAACTGGGAACTGCACCTGCGATGGAGTCTTCGGTTTGACATCTGAAAATGAAAATGAAAATGAAAATGAAAATGGTTGAAACAATTTTCTTTCTAATTTTGTTTCCATCTTAAACTGAATATAAAATAAAAGTAAAAGGAATTCTGCCTTTCCTCCTTTCTTTCTAACAGAAGCGGTTTAGGATTTTGAAACTTGAACAAAGAAATTAGACAGCTTCTTTGGGGGAAAATTGCAAAAATTCAATTTCATAAGAAAATAAACAGTTTTAGTGTAAAATAACTTCTATTCAGATAAAGATTGTAAATATGAAATGATTTTATTCTAAACAATCCAAATCTAAAATGGTTTAAACGCATCCTTGCCCCTGAAATTATACTATTTGCATCCAGTAGCTTTTAGGGTGTGTTTGGTTAGGGGAATGTGAGATTATCATGGTAATGGAATCCACATTCTCCCGTTTGGTTGGCCGGAAATGTCATTCCCAGTAATCTTACATTACCAATAGTGAATTTTTTGGGCTATATTACCGGGAATGTCATTACCTCCCTTTCTTTAGGTATTGTTGGATTACCGGTGTTTTGGACTAAAATGCCCTTGAAAAAAAAAATTCTTTCAAAAATATCATTATCCTGTCATTGAATAATAAAAATTCTACGAAGGTTAAATTATAAATTTATCCTTAAACTATTTTAGATTTACAAAAAAAAATATAATTAAAATTTTATATGAAGTTCAGGGGTTAAAATAAAATTTTACCCTTTCATTAAATTTTTTTAATATTTTCAATTTTGTAAAAAAAATATAAATTTTATGAATTTAAATTTTTAAAGAAAATATATAAATATTTTCCAACTTGTTAAAAAAATAAATATATAATAAGGACAATTTGGTTAAATATACATTCCAATAATCTTTTATTCATTTAACCAAACACGGTAATCTTACATTCCTGCAAAACCAACCAAACACAAAATACAACATTCCCAGTAATCCTATTCCCGGGTAATCTTTTATTCCCACTGGTAATCTTACATTCCGTGAACCTAACGCACCCTTAAAGTATCTTTCCCGATATTTTTCGTTAACTTTGTTAAAGAAAATAAAGATAAATTATATATTTAGTCCCAATCATTTCTACAGTTTTACTTTAGTCATTAAGCTATTTGTTTTTTAAAATCATCATCAAATATAAATTTTTGTTCCATTTTGATCACCAAATTTGGTTTAATTTATTTTTTTAAATTTATAATATATAAGAATTCATTCATTTCATATATTTTATTTTAAAAAACTCAATTTTATTTAAAAATTTATTTTATTAAAAGAACTTAATTTTATATGTATTTTTCAAGTCTTTCTTTTTATTAAAAATTATATAAATTAATTATTATTTTTTAATAATTTATAAATAAGTTAATCTAACTAATGAATTTCTAAATCATTTTTAAAATATCAAGAAATCTCGTCATCTCTAAGCATTGATCACTTTTTGAGTGTTCATATGATTATAATACCTAATAAAAGAAAGACCCTTAAACTATTAGATCAGAATAAGAAGGAAAAAATACATTTGATGACACTTCTATTTTTCCAAGTTGATAACATGTGATCGTTGATAAATATCATGAGAATAAAACCATTCAAGGTTGAAATTTTGGCATTTAAGTAATGTTAAGCCATGAAATGTTCACATTGGGGCATTCCCAAAAGCACAAATCATGTTGGGATAACAATAATCAGATCAAGAAGACATAGAAGATGAGCTTCGTCGCTTGAGATGACAGAGGTAAAATATGAAGACAAGAAGATCTTTCATTGGAAAAGTAAATCATTCAAGTTTCAATTGGCAGAAGGGTATTAAGAAAACAAATTTGATAGAGCAATTAAGTCAGAAATGGCATCGAGATCATATGCCTTATCATAACAAGAATTCAAAAAAGAAAATGTATTTTTCTGAAATTTAATGAAGACATAAGACAGATCTATATAGAGGACATGACAACAAGACGATCAAATTGTTCTTCAAAAATGTAAGCTTGAACTGACAAGTTGTGACACTGATATTGAGGCGGGGTATACTCTAAAATGGTCAAAGTGAAGGAAGATTAAGTTCTCCACTTTAAATCCAGAAGAAGATTGATGATTAATTTTTATATATGAACCTCATGCATTATTTAGATGTATTTAATTGCATTCATATTTTCATAAATAAATACATATTTTTACAGATCTTCCAAAAAAAAGATAAAAAAGAGCAAATCATAATTCAAGCCTCAAATGGAGGGAATTACATTCAGAGTGGCAGAACCTCAAGAATTAAGAAGCCCAATCCACAAAACAATCTTTACTTTGAAGTGTGGCATGTTATCTGACTAATATGATGTTTTCAAATGATTTTAAAAAAAATCATTTTCAAAGATTTCTTAAATGAGAGTTTAAGAAGTCAACTAGAATTTCATAAGAAGAGGATCTCGGCAAAGAATCAAACCACAATTTCACCAGTGGAAAGAGTGGATCCAACAAAAAATTAAGGACCTTTGAGTCACTACTTTCGGGTACTTTAAATACATATCAATGGCACATGATAATATTTTTGCAGGTCTAAAACTCTTCAAAGAGAAGATAGACCAAACATTTTCAATGGAAAGGTTCTTAATGAGAAGAACTCGTCCGATAAAGGAGAAGAAGTTCATAATAAAAAGAATTTGTTCAACATGGCTCGTCCATCATATAAGGAGTTGGACCAGTACCTTTCTTTTAGCTCGATTCCATCACATAAGGAGTTGGATCAGCATCAACATTTCGCTTGATTCCATCATATAAGGAGTTGGATCAACATCACCATTTTGCTTGATTCTGTCACATAATGAGTTGAATCAGCGTCATCACTATTGAGATAGTTTCCTTCGAAACTCAAAATCATTTCACTCAAGATTTTATCTCACTTGAGATTATTTTTCTTAAAACAAGTTTTATCTCAATTGAGATTATTTTTCTTAAAACAGATTTTATCTGACTTGAGATTGTTTTTCTTAAAATAGATTCTATCTCACTTGATATTTTTTCCTTAAAATTTTTTTTATCTCAATTGAAAGTGTTTCTTTAGAGGAAAAAAATTCCTCACTCAAGGCAATTGTTTAGAGTTTTCCTTAAAATCGCTTCATTTGTAAGTTAGATTTTATCTCTCTTGAGATCAAAAGATCATTTTTCGGTTTCACATTCTAAAATAATAAAATTTAATGATCAATGATAAATGTGTCTTTGCAGGATCATCATC